TTTTTCTGAACCTCTGATGCTTTTGAGCAGCAGCTCCCTGAACTCAATCTGGTTATTTAGTCGGTGATTGAGGTAAAAACACCTGTGCGTGAATCTGGGAAAGCAATCCTGTGCTAATTTGGAGTGTTGACCTGAAATGGACAAAGTTGAAATGCAAATGGGCATTAACCTTGAATGGAAATCAGCTGATTAATAATATGTTTAAACCTCTGTAATGTGAAACGAGCTTTTCAAACTAAAATTTGTTTTTCATTTCTAATAGGTGAGTGGACATGGTCACCATTTCTTTTTAAATATATTTTTATAGATTTTAGAGAGAGAGAGAAGAAAGAGAGAGAGAGAGGAGGAGAGAGAGAGACATCAATGATGAGAGAGAATCATTGGTCAGCTGCCTCTGTCATCCATCGCCGCCCCCCCAACCCCCTCTCCTCTACTAGGGATTGAGTCCACAACCTGGGCATGTGCTTTTGACAGGAATCAAACCTGATTCACTTCCATCCTATCCACTGAGCCAAACCAGTGAGAGCCATTTTGGTGATTTTAACATATACATTTTTTTCCCCCAGTCTATTTTTATATTAATGCTTAAAATACTGTTATTAAAGTATTAAAATAATATTTATTTTCAGATTTGGAGTTTAGTAATAATAAATCATTTAATGAGCTTTGTACCTGGAGAAATTTTTAAAAAATGTTTTATTGCTATTGTAAAAATATCACAGTTTTAAAGAGATATCTCAACCAAAGAGTCTGCACAACACTTTGAGAATGTGTTCTCTGCGACAGTTTGAAAATGGCTGCGGTCGTGCTGGCTGTAGCTTGCACTTTTACAGGGAGAGTGTGAACATCAGTTGTCAGTATTTTGTCTAATTTCCAGGAGTGATTGAAAGCTCTGATATGGAAAAGAGAATGACATTAGCATTTAAATGTTTAGTAAAAAAAAAAAATGCAATATTTCTTTTTAGAGAACATTGTAAAAATTTTATTATTATTTTTTTAATTAAGGTATTATATGTGTATATATCTTACCATTGCCCCCACCTCACCCCACTCCCATACATGCCCTCACTCCCCAGAGTTTTGCGACCATTATTTATGTTTATATGCATGCATATTAGTCCTTCAGTTGATCTCTTACCTCCCCCAGCTCTCCCTAACCTTCCCGATGTAATTTGACAGTCTGATGCTTTATTGTCTCTGTATCTATCTTTTTGTTCAACAGTTTATAATGTTCTTTATTATCCATAAATGAGTGAGATCATGTGGTATTTTTCTTTCATTGACTGGCTTATTTCACTGCGCATAATGTTCTCCAATTCCATCCAGATTGCTGCAAATGGTAAAAATTCCTTCTTTTTTTATGGCAGCATATTATTCCATTGTGCAGGTGTACCATAGTTTTCTGATTCAGTCATCTGCTGATGGGCACCTAGGCTGTTTACAAATCTTAGCTATTGTAAATTGTGCTGCTATGAACATAGGGGTGCATCATTGTACATTTTTTACTCGAGTGTTGAACTGTTACATTCCCCAAAATGACAGGAGAGAAACTATGGGTGAATATCTTAAAAGCTGCCCAGTTGGTGTAGCTCGGTGGTTGAACATTGACCCAGAAATCAAAAGGTCAAAGGATTGATTGCCGGTCAAGGCACATGCCTGAATTGTGGGCTTGGTCCCTAGAAGAGGTTGTACAGGAGGCAGCCAATAGATTATGTTTCTCTCTCCTAGATGTTTCTATCTCTCCAATCCTCTCCTTCCCCCTCTCTCTAAAAACGAATAATAATAATAATAATAAAAAAGAGAACTTGAAAGCTGTTGAGGCAGTGAGGTTGGGGAGCACTGTTTGAAGTAGACTATTGACTGTTTTTAATTTTATTCTCATTAAAATCTGACTGCAGACAGCCCACTGAGGGAAGAGAGAAGGAATTCCTTTTAAACGAATCATAAATTATTAATAGTTTATTTTATCCAGTTCATTTCTACCTCCCACTTGTCATTTTTTCAAAATCTACTTCCCCAGGACTTAGGGGACGCTGGTCAATGCTTTGCATTGTTATAGCACTTTGCATACTGTGTCTGTTTGTCCATGCAAATACTTAATTATTGTTTATAGCTTGTAGCATTGTTGAACAATTCTTGGCTCTCAGCTTTTCTCAAAGCACACTGGAAATTGGGTCCTTGGAACTCCTTATTGCACCCATTCAAGCAGAGGTAAATAGGTATTTCTTAGACCTCTTCTACTGAGAGTTTTTATAGCCTTCGGCCTGTTGCTTCATCATAACAGTTGGTTTCAACCGATGGGGAAACTGAGATGGACGGAGAGTTATGAAGTGACGTGCCCAACATCACACAGCTGGTTAACCTGAACTGTTAACTAAACAAAATCATCTCTTAAATTGCTTGACTCGATTGATTATATCGTATGGTAGTTAAAAGTTCAGACTCTTGAATCCCAGGGAGACCATTTACTAAGACAGTTGTGTACACCGCATAGTACATCCTGAAGAGTGAATATTAGCCATTATGTTCGAGTAAATGACAGCCCCTCTTGTATACGTTCTTGCTCACTCTTTTTAGATAATAGATAACAGAATGCAGTTCTAAAACCCAATCTCTTTAACTAAGTACTGGATTTGAATCAGCTGCCCTAACTTCTAAATCTTGATGGGGACTGTTTGGGCCAGAAAAAGATAATACATGAGAAATCACTTCTAAGTTATATCACAACATAAAAGCATGGAGTGTTAATTTACTTTATATGGAGTTAATTTAAACTGTACATTCTCCTAGAAAAATATTAAAAACAGGAGAAAAAAGCCATGATTCGTTGTACAACCACCTAGAGATAACTGTTTTTTCCCCCGTTTTGGTCTGAGTTTCTGGTTTTTTTTAAACGTAAGTTGGTCATTGAGGAACATTCCGTGGTCCCCGAAGGAAGATTATGCAAAGGGGAATCTGGTAAAGAGAATATCTGTCACTATATGTCTTTCTTTTCCCCCAGTGATATGCCTTCCAATAATCCAGACTCGTCATGATCAGTTTTAAAGGTGTAGAAAAGCGTTTATCAGTTATCTGGGTGATAGAAATGGCCATGTTATAGCTCTTTGCAGGTCTGCTTGGGGAGGGGTCAGTTCCTATGCCTGAGTCTGTTCCTAACAGGACCGTGTTGGGAGTGGGGAGGGAGGCCTGGCTTGGCAACAGCTCCTGTGAAAGTAACAGCATCTCCAATAACCACGCATTTTGTCAGAGACAGCAATGGGCTGTGCCGGCTGTCAGTGCTCATGCGGCTCAGGCTGCACCAGTGGGGGATCTGAGGATGTGAGTTGCTTGCTGGGCCTTGTCATCTAGATCACATCCAGCAATACTGTGTTCTCTGTGAGGGCTGGGGCTTGAGCTGGGCACTGACTGTGGAGGTAGGAACAGGCAGCGAGGACATCCCGAGGGCCATTGAATAGTTAGAAGACTCAAGGATGTTTTGCTTAGTAGGCATCCTAGGATGGCTGACAGGGGCCCGCCTAGGGAAGAGGGAGTAGACTCGTGGCTGCAGGTGGCAAAACCACAGACCTTGGAGAGCAACTAGATAGGGCTACTCCCCGGCTTACTGTAACGAGTGTGTGCTTGTGCACGGGTGCATGTGTTCTGTGTAAATATCAGGATTGTCTAGTAATGCAGCAGACCTTAGGATAAGGTGATCAGTGTTCCGCTTTTGGCGGGACAGTCCCGATTTTTAACAATTTGTTCCGCGGTGTTTTAAAAAAGTCCCGATTTTTTTCCAAAAAATTTTTTTCCAAAAAAATCGGGACTTTTTTAAAACACCATAGGACACGGGACAAATTATTAAAAATCGGACTGTCCCACCAAAAGCGGGACATCTGGTCACCTTAACTTAGGAAGGAGTCTGTTTCTGGTCACTGATGGTATTTAAGCTGAGACTGGATGGATCCCTGTCAGAAGATTCTATAAAATTCATTTTTTCCCTGCGTTTGCTTTTTTTTTTTTTTTTTTTTTTTTAAATATATTTTATTGATTTTTTTACAGAGAGGAAGAGAGAGGGATAGAGAGAAACATCGATGAGAGAGAATCATTGATCAGCTGCCTCTTGCACACCTCCTACTGGGGATGTGCCTGCAACCACATGCCCTTGACCGGAATCGAACCCGGGACCTTTCGGTCCACAGGCCAACGCTCTATCCATTGAGCCAAACCGGTTTCGGCTCCCTGCGTTTGCTTTTTATTGAGCTCTTCTTATATGATGAGGACTGTGCCCAATGCTGAGGAGACACAGGTCAGTATGACAGGCAAGAGGCAGAATTACATGACTTTAAAATCCTCTATGGCTGGGGCTGGAAGAAATTGTTTGTTGCTTCGGTTTCCTTTTTCTTGATAAAGTGTGGAGCTCTGCTTTCTATATACCTCCGCCTTGTGGACACTGCAGCGTGTTTCTGTCATATTTCTTCTGTGACATGGAGTAATGCTTCATCACTTTCTGAAAGACTGTGGGCCATTCACTCATGCACAGGACAATATTTTATTTCCCCACTTTTGAACATAGAAGTGAACGCTGACTGTAGGGTTGATTTTTCATGGCGAATGTTTCATTCCATGCTGACTTATGTATTTTTTTTTTTTAAAGACTCAAGGTATGTCAAAAAGTATAATGAAAGCAGAATGCTTATGGAACGTAAGGTGATACTACATAGGAATGTTGTTGGAAGTTCATTGTAGTTCAAACGGATATGGAGGACTCAGTCTCCAAAGTTATGCTTACTTTTCCGAGGGGAGTCCTAGTGTGTGTGATACTGAGATTCCGAATCTCCAACGTCAATATTTGTAAATCGACCTCATATCCGTGCTGATTCTACTTCTGCCTGCAGAGACGAGGCAGTACCAGGAGGATCAGAGGGGCCAAGAACAGACTGTGCCGATTGGGAGGTGATCTCGGGGTCTCTGTACGTTTTGGCCATCCAGTAAGGCCAGCTGTTCGTTCATTTCCCATCTAGGTTTGGAATCCACCCAGTCGCAGGCCGGATGCCTGGCCAGCTTAATGTGCTGCTGGCTGAGGCCGGGGTGCCATATGATATTGTGCTGGAAATGGATGAGATCAACCAGGACTTCCCAGGTAAGTGATGGGGCGGATGATGACACTGACTCGTTCTGAGAGGGACTAAAGCAATGCCAGTCCAGGGCAGAAACTGGGGGATCATGGAAGACCTGCTCGTCAGATGGGGGGCAACCTGCCCCCGGTGGGGGTGTAGTCGCAATGACATAAACGAAAAACAGTGCTGACTGGTTCACCGGGTTGTAAGCAGCACAGGTAACTCTGCTCTTGTGAGGAGAGCTGAGGGAAGGAGCAGGCCCTGGGAGGCGATGTAGGGAGGTGGATTGCCTGGGGACTCGGAACACTTTGGAATCCAGGTCCTGACTCTCTTTCTCATGACCTTGAACTAGTTACTCAGGCTCAAGTTCCTCATTTATCAAATTGCTGTTGAACATTCAGTGTGATTTCTGCCTTGTTTACTGGTTTCCAGTTGTACCAACTCAGGATCAGAATGGCAGTTTTCTGTCCCCTTGCAAGTGCTAGACTTCACTGGACAAGGTGCTGTCCTGTGTGGCTGACATGGGTATGGGTTGCATGCTAATGACATTTGGCCCAAGATCATGCTTGTTAAAATTAAACCAGTTCCCTCTGGCAAGTGTCCACGGTTCACATAAAAAAACAAACAAACTGTTTGTTAGAGAAAAATAATGAAACCGTGTGTGTGTCTAGATTCACATGGCATTTTGGCAACATTCTAAGGTAGTTCACATTATAACGCTTAAAGAGGGAATTTAGGCCATTTTTAATTTTATGCCTCCTTTTCAGATTTCACTGTTGCTAAATTATGTGTGAAATCTGCCAGTTCCAGGAACTATGGACACAGCTTTAATATAGTACAGATTCATAGACCATTTTCTTTTAGACATCAAGTTGCATTTATGTGGTCATCTTAGACGTTGAAAATGGAACACAGATATTATAAAATATTGTAATTGGCAAGATCACTTCGGGATAATGAAAGAACTATATAAAGTTACATTAGGGGAAAGGAAAGCATAATAATGCAAGCTCCAGCCAGGATGCTCAGGTTAGAGGCCTGTTGCGTTTCAGCTGTGTGACATTGGCTAAGTTACTGAACCTCTCTGATAAAGCCCTCGGTACGGTGTCTGGCACAAGTGTGGGTCTTACAAATATTAGCTTTTGTTATAAAGCCAGATCAGTCTCATTTTCCTGGAAAGAAGTGCATGTGACTCCCCTGAGTTTTATATTTCCTTTTTTTTTTTTTTCTTTCACGATGCAGACACCGATTTGGTCCTTGTAATTGGAGCTAATGACACTGTCAATTCAGCGGCTCAAGAAGACCCCAACTCTATTATTGCAGGCATGCCAGTTCTCGAGGTCTGGAAGTCAAAGCAGGTACGTTGCAGGCTCGTGCTTCCTCCTAGCCATCCAAACTCTTAGAATGCACACGCGGAGCTTTCCTGGGTCCCTGGATGAGCAGTGATGAAGGCTTGAGGAGGCCCAGGAGTTGGAGGAGGATTAGGCTCGGTTCTCCCGAGGCAGCTTCTGTGCTCTGTGGCCCCCGGAGAATCTGATGGATGCCTCGGTCACGGCAGAACCAGAGGGGACTGTGCAGCTGCGTTAATGGGATCTGTAACCGCAGCTGAACAAGGGCTTTTGGAATGAGTCTGGCTGAGTTCCAGGTCGAGTCCCGTGGAGCAGATGGCTTCCCTCCGGGACAGTGAGTCAGTTCTTCGCCTCCATATATGAAGACGAGCACATTTTTTTCATGCAATGTTATCGAAAGGGAGTTTGCATGTCGTTATGGGGTGTCTGGAAGAGAGGTGATTTGGAAATCGGACAGCAGCGTGGCATGGGGAAGCAGGCTCTGCACGTGCACACGCTCCCGAAGGGCGGGCTGCTAGGTTGTGGGGAGCTCGGCGCTGGCCCCTTGTCCTCTGCCCAGCCGTGGGCACGTTCTTTACCACCCCTAGGTCAGATCTGCGTTTTCAGAACCATGGCTACAGAATGTACATTTCCCCTTTCGTTTTGTTTCTCTTTACTGTACACATGAGGTCAAAACTTAGTGTTTGTGGTACGTGAGCAGATAAGCCATGCACTGGGTCATGGGGTATGAGAAATGATTGCATTGGTCATTAATGTTGGAGAGTTTGCAGAGCCCTTGTCAGTGTGGCTCAGCAGTTAGAGCGTTGGTCTGAGCCCTAAAGGGTCATAGGTTCAATTCACGGTCAATTCACGGTCAACATACCTGGGTTGCAGGTTCAATCTTTGGCCCCTGCCTCAGTCCAGGCACATGTGGGAGTCAACCAATTGATGTGTCTCTTTCACATTGATGTTTCTCTCTCTCTCTCTCTCTCTCTCTCTCTCTCTCTCTTCCCCCCCTCTCTCTCCCTCCCTCCCTCTTTCTGTCTTCTCCTTCACTCCCTTCCCTTCCACTCTCCCTAAAAATCAATGGAAAAAAATATCCGCGGGTGAGGATTAACAAAACAAAGCAAAACAAAGAGTTTGCAGAGTACACTGTCGTATGAATGCTACTTGAAGCGTGAACACATTTGTACTGCTTTCCTTCTTGGAGAGATGGCAGGACCTAGACCATGGGAAGGCTTTATTTTCATTGAGAACTGACTTGATACTCAGCAGGACAGCACCAGCTGTGATCTGCGTAATTGTAAATGTCTGTAGCACATCAGCGTCAGAGACACCGCAGTATTAGCTCTTAGCCTCTCCTTGTGACAGCTAGGGTGCTCTTTGGGCTTCTGTGTTAGAACTTTCTGATGTATTTTTTCCTTAAAGTGAGGGAGCAGGACTGATACCATTTTCCCACTCAGCTACCTTTATTTTAAAGTCTGTAGTAGAAGCTTAATCACCGTGTTTGTTCTCTTTAGCCCATTCATAGAAAGATGCACATAGTCTTTGTGGGCAAAAGCACTAAGAAGAAAGTAGCAGTCTGCTCACTCAGAGATAAATGATTGTTCACATGACCTTTGCTTTCATTGCTATAAAAGTATGGCACATTTTAAAAATTAAAGTTAATGCAATGTAAATGTGCACTAAAATGCTCCTTGTGCCTGGCTGGTGTGACTCAGTGGTTGAGCATTGACCTATGAACCAGGAGGTCACCGGTTTGTTTCCTGGTCAGGGCACATGCCCAGATGGTGGGCTTGATCCCCAATAGGGGCATGCAAGAGGCAGCCGATCAATCATTCTCTCATCATTGATGTTTCCATCTCTCTTTCTTTCTCTCTTCCTCTCTGAAGAAAAAAAATATATACTTAAAAAATACTCCTGGTTTATTTTAAGAGTCTGTGAACTAGAGAACTGGTAGAGAGGCAGATGTCTGTTCAGAGTGCGGGCAGGGCAATGTTTGTGTGCCTGGTACCCAGCCCAGATGTTACATGCACTCTCTCCCTTCATCTTCGATTCCCAGGTCATTGTTATGAAGCGGTCCTTGGGTGTTGGCTATGCTGCGGTGGACAATCCAATCTTCTACAAGCCCAACACGGCCATGCTGCTAGGCGATGCCAAGAAGACCTGTGATGCACTGCAGGCGAAAGTTCGAGAATCCTACCAGAAGTAAACCTCAAAGGTCAAGCAGTTGTCTAGCATCGGGGGAACTTGTGGGAACAGGCAACGGAAGTATCGCTCTAGACCGCTGGTGCACATCTGTAGCAAAGCTCTTGCACGGAAAGGAAGACCCCGAAGAAAGCAAAGCAAACACAGGGAGATTTTTCAAGAGTATTTTCAAAAAAGGATTGAAAAAAATCGACATGTCCTTCTGTGCATATTTTTTTGGTGTTCTAAATCAAAAGCATTTTATAAAAGGAGAAAGAACAGCCTCATTTTCAATGTAATCTGTTTAGATTTTTTAAAATTCCTGCTCGGTAGCCAGTAATGTTTTAAGACATTAAGTCTAGGATTTGGGACTTAACCAAACACAGATCTGAAAAATCTGACGCAGTGTAAACATTACAGGCACCTGGGTCGATGGTTTTTCCAACAAATGTGACTAATTTGAAACTTGCATCAACTCCGGAGCTGACCTCTGATCTTTAACTATCACCTGAACCAACCGTATCAAATTGGGTTTGGTTTTTCAAACTGTACTTTCAATTGTCGATTTCAGGGGTGTATTTTCTCACTTCTATTTTAATACGTTCAAGGACTAGGTTACCTTCCAGAGATGCTGGAAACAGTTAAGCCATTTGCTTTGTCTGTTTCATTAGGACACCAATGAAACATAATGTGAAATCAGTATTAGTTGTATTTTTAAAAATCCCATTTCTAATCGGAGATCTCTTTAATTTCAATCAATTTATAATGTGTAGTACTGTACTAAGTGCACTTGAATGGAATTCAACTATTTGCCTAATAAAATGAGTTCATTATGTTTGCACATTGATGTAGCAATTGTCTCTGGCGACAAAATGCTAACATTGAATAGCTCTGCTTGTTAGTAATATCCGGGGAAGACTTGCTACTATAAAGTAGATGAAATTAATCTGTCTTAAGGTCCGCAAGAAATACTTTTTTTTCCCCCACCCACAAATCAGAGTGTGCTTTGAGGTCTTACATAACTGATCACATTTGGGAGAAAAGGCGGCACATTTTTCCCTCCTTTAGTTACTAGTGCTTTGTTTAAGCACTAGTCAAGACCAAGTCTTTTTGCAGTAAAAGTGTATGTTTCCTTTGTGATGTTGCTACATTGCCAAGAGCTCTATAGAGGACGAATGTGTGATGAGTTTCTTGAAACAATTATTAACACCTAAAAACGATTTCTAAACCAGAAAAATAAGTAACTGGTGTGAAATTTTTTTACTGTGATGCTCATGTTTACTGAGTTTACAACTCACAATATTTGTTGGTTTGGTAATCAATTTCTGTTTTGCTGTGCTTGCAATTAAGATCGCATGTGTGTGTGTGTGTGTGTGTGTGTGTGTGTGTGTGTTTTAAAGCAGAAAAGATTAAAAGATCCCTTTTAATTTTTGAGGGATAAGTGCAATTTGTTAATGGGACTCAGGTTATAAAGAACCCCAAGAATGAATTATATAATTAAAGTCCTGTTAGAAGCAAATAGATGTTATCTGTACGCCCTTTTCCTTTTCTAGTTGTAGATAGACCTGGAAAGCAGTGACTTGAAATTTTTTCTTGGAGAAAATTCCTGCATTCAGTTTAAATAAAAAATAATTATGCTTAGATTTTTAAAATTTATTTTCATCATTTATAGTAAATACTTTTAAAATTTAGGGTGATCTCATTTTTGATAGTAATCCTTTTCATTCATTTGTGTTAATTGAATTGAAAATTTATGATGCAGTTGGTTTTATTTTACTTTTTGGAAGGATATTGAAGTTTTTTTGAAACATAATTTCTTAAATCCAAAGGTTGGTGGTCTTAGATTATTAATTACAGTGAAGTCTTGAATCAACAAAGATAATTTTTACCCATCCAATTTATCATCCTTCCTTTTCTGATTAGTCATACAACTGAGAATAAATGACTTAATTTTATTCTTGTATTGTTCACTATATCTTTTAGATATAAATACATTTTTTTTAATTCCATTGTACCCTGTAGTCTGGTATCAAAAAATAGGAATTTCACTTAGGCAGCGAAGTGCTATTGCTGACTTGTCTTTTAGGCCTTACTAATTGTCCTTTATTTTTTCTTGTTTGTCTTAAATTGAGAATTTGTGTTTGAGTTACTTATTTAAGGAAAGAGCATATGTAAGTAAAGTATAAGTATTTATGCATTATACATGTTTCTATCTATTTACCTATTTATGTCACTTTGGACATTTTCCGGTATATAAATCTTATGCTGTAACTTTTTTTTTTCTTTCTCTCGGGATTAGAATAGAAAGGACTAAGAAAGAGGAATAATCTCTTCTTGCAGGGGGTAGAGTTAAATTTGTGGTAATGGATGTGGAAAGTGGGCCTTGGCCTTGTGGATTTTATCTGAGTCATGACCACCCTGACTTTTAGATTTTGCTGTGGTCTCATCCAAAGCAAATATGGGAAGTATTATGCACCAGTCAGTTTAGGGTTTAGTTCAATTTATGTGATCCCATAGACTTTTCTGTATAATTAATAACTCATAACCCATGTGTTCATCTGACTTAGAGGCACATTTTCTAGTCCCTGAAGACATGAGTCTTGCGAATGAAAGCGTTTTAGGACTGGAAAGTTGGAGAGCTTTGTCGTGCAACTAGGGAGAATAGTTCAAATATCTAATTTATAGCTCTTGCCAGTTTTGGAGAGTCTTTGCCAACAAATGTTATTGGGTCAGAATGGTAAAAACAACAACCCCAAACTCTTCACTCCAGTGGCAGCAACTTGCATAATCCAGCTGCTCTTTAGATTCTCAAAAGAAAGAAGAATTAAGTTAATTAACAAAGAGAAAAGAATACTTTTGTAAGTGAAACTTTTAAAGTGTTTGTTTAGTAAAGCAGCAGAAATGGTAACGTTTGAATTTCAAAGCACTCAAGATAGCTGTTCTTAAACTCTTATTTCTTAGAAGTTACATATTGGGCTAAGGAATTGAACTGTTTTTTTTTTTCTCCTACTACTTAAGTGGTTATGGATATTTAACATGGTGTATACTGTAATTCTGGATGGAAATCTTTTGGATGCTGGTAAAAGAATGATGTAGGTGATGAGACAGTGATTAGATATGCGAAACCCTTACATATAATGACTAAGATAGTGGGAGGAAAAAAGTTAGGTCAGAGTATATAATTTCTTTGGGGGAAGAGTAGAAAATCATGTTGGATAGGTAGAGAAAGACCAGTTTGTGATTATGGAGAACTTGAAAAGCTTGGGCCCTAACTAATGGGGAGATACTACATCTCTGTCATGTTGATGTCAAAGCTTTGTTCTGTATAAAATACTTGCACTTCATATTCTTGCCAAAGATTGCAACCTTGAACTTTGCTTTCCAGTTCTTTCCGAAGCCTATTTGTGAAGAATAAAACCAATGGAAAGGATGCTGGGAGGATGCGGAGTCTGGCTTGTTGCTGGACAGTTCACATTCACCCACAGACACAAGCCAGACCTTCAGGGAGCTGGGTCCGTGGGCAGCATTGCTCGGGTCATCGTGAATAGCGAAGACACGGAGGGACAGGCATGGAAAGGGCAAAGGGATGCAGCCACGCAAGGTGCCCGAGTTCAGGGGCAAGTGTGCATGTGGCAATAGGCTGGCGTAGAGCAGAAGTGGTTGCCTTGGGCTTTGAGAACTGAGGAGGGCTGTGGATTTGGAGTATGTGGGTGACATGGGATGATGGTGACTAGTTCCTGACCCCCACCGTGGAGGTAAGTGAAAGGGAAATGAGAGATCAGAGAAAGGGGTCCGAGGTGCTCCTAGCCCTCCTGTTGTAAAGATGGCACATGAAGACCTACCCTTTTCTTCCCCGTTCCTGTTGGGTTCAGGGAGATGAAGACCACACTGCAGCACTGGGATGTGGTGTAGGGAAGAGCAATGATCCATGGGAAGGGACCATGTAGCAATGAAGTAGGCCATTGTTCTCATCTTCCTTTTTCTTGGTTTACTGTTGGAAAAGCCACACTGGGAAGCTTCTCCCAGAAGGGGACAACTAGAGTTAGCCAGGGAACTTCTTTATAAACCAGCCCTTTTCAGGAACTGCTTTCCCGAAGCCAGTGAGTGGCTCTCAGCCAGCCTTGTTTCCCCTTCTTTGTCCCAGGGAGGGAGTGCACCTCCCACAAGAGCAGGCGCTCACACCAGCACAGCAGGTCTTGTGCCCTGTGAATTCCCTTTAGACCCTGTGAGTCTGGTCCCCGGCCACACACACAGGTAGCAGCCTCACCAAGCAGTGTGAGCAGCCACACCTAAAACTCCAGAGACCTGGCAGAAAGCGTGACTAAATCACCCCCTTTTATTATGTCAGGAGGGAGCTGATTTTCTCCCCATGGCATGGAACCATGTCACGGTTTTATCTTTAGAATGTTTTATCACTACAGTCATCCCCCTTTATCTGCAGTTTCGTTTTCCATGGAGTTAGTTATTTGCAACCAATTGTGGTCTGAAAATATTAAATGGAAAATTCCAGAAATAAACAGTTGATCAATTTTAAATTGTGTGCTGTTCTGAGTAGCGGGATGAATTCTCGAGGGTCCCACTCTGTCTCCCCCGCTGGATGCAAATCATCCCTTTGTCTTAGCATGTCCACTCTGTACACATTGTGACTTGTGGTTATTAGATTGACATTGTGTTCAAGGAACTCTTATTTTACTTAAGAATGGCCCCAGAGCCCAAGAGTGGTGACGCTGGCAATTCAGATATTTCAAAGAGAAGGTGTAAAGTCCTTTTGAGTGAAAAGGTATGCACGTATAGGATAAAAAAGTCTACATAAGGTTTGATAACATACATGGTTTTAGGCATCGACTGCGGGTCTTGGGACATATCCTTCTTGGATTCGAGTTTACTGGAATACTATGTGTCAGAAATTACTCCTGGAAAAGGCTTTTGAAAGCTTTCGTTTCATGGAACATTTTGTTCTTGCAAACGGTAGCTAGCTAGTTCTGTGGTTTTGTCCCATTGAAATATAAATGGGCATGACACACA